TAAACCTATAGCCAGTACAATTCATGGTTGGAAACTAATTGAGAGAAGCAACCTGGAACTAAGGAGAAATTGTCTGACAGTGAGAACAAAACCAGTGGAATGGCTTGCCTCCAGAAGCTGTGGGTGCACTGGAGGCTTTTAAGAAGAGACTGGATAGCGACTTGTCTGAAATGGTATAGTATAGGGTCTTGAGCAGGGGTTGGGTGCTAGAAGACCTCCAAGGTCCCTTCCAACTCTATTATTCTTTAAAGTCTATCAACATAATTATGTTGGAGAACAAAGCTAATCCTGTAGCCTATAAAATTCATGCAAATAGGGGCTTAATTTTTATGCCTCAAACCGCAAACCCCCAAAACTTTAACCTTAGACTGTCTACTATTGACCTCACCCCTTTCCTAAGAGGACTGTAGGGGGTGTGCATAAGCGCACCAATGTGCCTACCGTCCCTGTCCTATTGTTTTTTTTATTTTTCTTATATGTACCCATTTCATGTATTCATAACTATGTATATACTTATACCTATTATCTTGTAAGCGATTGACAAATCAAAATAAATAAATTAAATAAATAAATAAATAAATAAAATAAAAATAAATGACCTAATATTGTTTTCCAATCCTTGGTATTGTATATTTTGTTTTTGTTGTTTTTCACATTATTTATTAATGTATAGATCTGATACATTTATTTTGCTAATTTGGCTTTTGGGGAATTTGGTGTACTTTTAATATATTAATTACAGTTTATTCTTATTGCTTTAAGACATTTCAGTATCATTTGATTTCATGTTATCTTTTAAACTACTTACTTGCTCAAGATTAATTTTGAATTGCTGAGTTGTCCTATCAAGAGATTTTTGTTCTAGCTTTTCAATTTTCAGTTTTAGTTCAGAGATCTCTTGGTTCTTTACAATAAATAATTTGCATAGTATGACAGATTGTGAATGTAAATTAATTATCATTTCTAAACTGCGCAAAGTTTTCAACACTCCTTCCACATTTATTCCTTCCAACTCCTGTTTCAGAAACATTAACTGTAAACCTACAGTGTTTAGGCAGTACAACAAATTTATTTTAAATAATCATTTTTACTAATTACCCAGAAGCAAAGTTCCAAGGCCCTTGAAAAATAGCAGCACTGGATCATGAGCGTGTTTGGACAATTCGGTGTTCGTTGCTTGAATAACATGGTTGAAGTATTTTTCCTGAGCATAGTATAGAATTCTAGCCTTGAGATAAAAAAAAAGTGTTGAAAACTTATTTTGATTCTGTTCACTACATTAAGAAAAATATATATGAAAGCAGAAAGATTTGGATCCACTATCTAACTTGGCATTTAAAAGAAATCCTCACTACAGACTTCAACGGATAATTAGAACTGCAGAAAAAAACAATTGCTACCAATTTGTCTTCCATTGAGGAACTGTATACTGCATAAGTCAAAAAGAGGGCTGTGAAAATATCTACAGACCCCTCACATCCTGGAAAAAAATTGTTTCAACTTCTGCCCTCAAAACTACCCAAGGCACTGCACACCAGAACTAGACATAAGGATAGTTTTTTCCCGAATGCCATCACTCTGCTGAACAACTAATTTCCACAACATTGTCAAACTATTTACTAGGCCTGTATTACCATTATTTTTCTCATCCTTCCTATTACCTATCTCCTCCCACTTATGACTATAACCTTGTTGCTTGTATCTCTATGATTTATATTATTTTATTTCCTAGTATGATTTGATTGCTTATTTAGTAACCTATGACTATCACTGTTGTATCTTTTGATTCTTGATGAATGTATTTTTTCCTTCTTTTTATGTACACTGAGAGCATATGCACCAAAGACATATTCTTTGTGTGTCCAATCACACTTGGCCAATAAAGAATTCTATTCTATTCACTACATCTACCAAGGAGTAACGGTATAAACTGTTCCATAAACCAATGTTGCTAGATATTTATGTTTGTCATCAAAAGTAACAGATAATAATTTCTACATACCAGCAGCAAGTATCATGCTGGTCAAAAATGTCATTGATCCACTATATCAGGGGTGGGCAAACTACGGCCCGGGGGCCACATCCGGCCCGTTGGCCTTTTTAATCCGGCCCGCTGAAGATTGGTACAGAATTAAGGTTTGATGTGAATGATTGCATTCATTTTATTTTGACCTGTAATAACAGGCATTTTGACACCAGGTGGCGGCCCGTCTGTCAAATTTTAAAAGTCAATGAGGCCCTCGAGCCAAAAAGATTGCCCACCCCTGCGCTATATGCTTTTACTTGGAAATTTGAGCTGACTATAAAACTAAGGTATGATAAAACATGTTTCAAGTTGAGCTTGACTCTTCGTAACTTCATGGGTATCTCATAGAAACATAGAAAACTGATGGCAAAAAAAACTGATGGTTTGTGGAGCAGCAAAGGAGCGTGGCATGCCAGAAACTGGGCTGCAAACAAGGGAAGCCCATTTTGTGCAGACAGTGCATGAAATCACAGCCCCTCGAACTGTGGGACCTTTGGTCCCTAGTGCCAAAAGGTTGGGGGCCACTGCATTAATTCATTAAGTGACTTCCCTTTGAATTTTTTGCTTTCCCTTTAATGTATTATTAATTTTTATTATTATTTATTTATTTTTGTCAGATGTTAGATGTGTTTATTCCAAACATATTTAAACTCAGTTTAAATTGAAACTTAATTAAAAACACGACAAGAATTACAAGAACGAGGATTTATAATTGATCAGTGGGTGTACCTTCAAATTCATAGTAAATACAAACAAGACATTAAAGAATTTGGAATCTACAATAAATTACAGACTCTAGACAAAATTCTATTAGGACCAAGTAAAAAAAATATATCTAAATTTTACAAATATTTATTAGAAACAGAACTGGAACAAGAAATTGTCAAGGGAAATATGATTGCGTGGAGCAGAAATGTGAGTCGGAGCATTACCCTAGCAGAATGGGAAAAGGTCTGGAACAGGAACATTAAGATCACGAAATCAGCAGCTTATAAAGAAAACTTATATAAAATGTTTTATAGATGGCACCTGCCTCCTTCGAGATTGGCCAAGATGCACCCCAACACGAGCCCCAAGTGTTGGAAATGTCAAAACATAGAAGGTACCTTCTTCCACATGTGGTGGTCATGCAAGGAAACCCAGAAGTATTGGCAAAAAATTAGGCACTGGCTAGAGGAAATAACCATGGAACAGATTGAGTACAAACCGGAGTCCTTCCTTCTAGGAATTTTTGATAAACGAATATCCAAAAAATCAAAGTATATTACAATCCATATCTTAACCGCGGCCAGACTGGCATTTGCCCAGTGCTGGAAACTATCTTCTATCCCCACTGAACTTATGGTCATTCAGAAAATTTTACAATGTGCAGAAATGGACAATCTAACCCAAGCATTAAAAAATAAAGAATCTTCAATTTATTCTAGCAATTGGAATCCTTTGTATATTTGGCTTAATCAAAGATAGTTCACCGCTAAGAAGACTAAGGCCGACGATAGCTTTGAAGAAGAAAAGACCTTACTGACAGTCACAAAATATGGTTTTATTATAATTGTCTTTCCTACCTTTGTTTTCCCCACTTTTCCCCCCTTCTCTTCCCTTTCCCTCTTTCCTCTCTCAAACTTTCCTTTCTTTCCCTCTTGGCTTACGCCAAGACTGGTGCGTCTCTTTGTTGTATATAATTTATAGCTGTGTTGTTGTCTTTTTTTTAAAAAAGTAAAATTAATAAAGTTTATTTAAAAAAATAAAAAAAATAAATTGAAACTTAAACTCAAATCGCCATAAGGCTTTTAGGGCAACATTTGAAAGTTGGTTCTTATTTCTTTCTTTTTGTGTTTTTTTAAAAAATCTGGGATTTCTTGGTGGTCCTCCATATAAATATTAATCCTATCTTACCTTATTAAATTTTTGAGATCAGCCAAAATTATCCAGGTCATACTACTTGCAGTAATTAAAAATCCAATTCTAGGATTTCATAGTTAGAATATTATGTAACACAATAACCAAATAATTTTTTCTTCAAGCTAAGTATGTCCTGGTACTTGACTTACAACCACAATTAAGCTCAAAATTTGTTATGTTTGCGAGACAGTTAAGTGAGTTTTGCCTTTTTACAATCTTTCCTGCCACGGTTAAGTTAGTGACCCAGTTAAATGAATCTTCCCCATTGACTTTGCTTGTCAGATTGCAAAACAAAATCCCAATTTTGATCACTTGGCCATGGGGAAGCTTCAAGGGTCATATGTATGAAAAATGGTCATAAGTCATTTTTTTTCACTGCCATTGTAATTTAACCACTTAAATGGTTGTAATTCAAGGGTTATCTGTACACCCAGGACATACTTTGGATTGGAAACAAAAACACAAGTGTTTTCTTTTAAGCATATGTTTCTATGCCTCAGTTAATTTGTGTGGACTTCGATTCCTAGAATTCCCCTGTCAGCATCCTTTCTTTCCACACTTCTTGAAATCGCTGAGGTGGAGAAGCATTGCCCTTAAGGCATATTATGAACCCATCTCTCGGTTAATACGCACAGCGTTCCCAGCCGTATTTCAATAGACATATTTTTATATTAGAAACACGTGTATTTTGGGAGCGCGTGGAGGAGACTACCATGGACTGGGGGTCCGCGACGGCCATCGCGCTCTCTGTAAGCCGCCCCGAGCGACCTAACCGACAAAGCGCGCGCCACAAACAGATCCCGCCCTCGCCCCGAGACGAACGTCTTCAGCAGCCAATCGCGGAAGAGCTGCTCCTCCTCCGTGCCACGCGGGATTTCTCCTCCCTCCTCTTTCTCTCCGCCTTTCCCCCCCTCCCACCCCCCGCCTCTGAAACCCGAGCTTTCCCCGCCCACTTCGTCGCTAGCCCTTCTCCTTCGTGGCGACGTTAGGCGATTAACGGGCGCTGCAGCCTATGAAGCGCGCGTGCGTCGCTCGGCTTGCTTCGTTGGCTGTCCCTTTCCCGGCGGCCTCCGCTTGCGCATGCGCCCCAGGGTTTGCAGCATTGGAAGCTGACGGGCTCTGTCGTTAGCGACCAGCGGCGATGGAGACGGCGAAGAAGCCGTCGAAGCGGTCGGGGTCTCCTCCCAGCGCTTGAGTTGGGGCCTCACCGGGCAGCCATGGGGCTGAGTTCCAGCTCCGAGGTTCCCGATGGGGGCTCCGTGGGCTACCATGTGCACGGGGTAAGCAGCGTTTCCCCGGAGGGACCGGCGGAGGGTGAAGACGGGGCCACCTGGGGTGTAGCCGGTCCGAAATCGAAGCTGGACTCCAGCGCCCATCATCCCCAGCCAGTGGGTGGGAAGGACGAGCATTAGTCCAATCTCTCTGGGAGGGAGGGCATCGGCTTGCACAGGAGATGAGCCACTGCTAGCCCCCTGAAGCTTTTTTTTTACCCAGTACCCATTGCTCTCGCCCAGTGGATGGGGATTTTGGACATTCATCTAATATCTCTTGGTGACAAGTGACCAGCTGGGAAGGGAAGGATCGTGGAAAGTGCCCTCTGTGAGGCTGAGTGTAATTTTATATATTATCTCCTATTTTGTTGTTTTTATACGTCACTCAAGGCAGCGGACATATCCAACAAGGCTTCCTCCTCTTTATTTTACCCCACAACAACAAACAACAACCCTGTGAGGTGAGTTGGGCTTGAGAGAGAGAGAGAGAGAGTGTGTGTGACTGGCCCAAGGTTACCCCACCTGGCTTTAAGGACTAAGGCAGGACTTGAACTCGGGGATTCTTACTTTTTAGCTTGGTGACTTAACCACTGGACCAGGGGTCTTCAAACATGACGGCTTTAAGACTTGTGGACTTCAGCTCCCAGAATTCCTCCTCCAATCATGTTAGCCAAGTTTGAAGACTTGTGCTAGATCAAACTGCTGGCTGATGTCCTTATTTCAAGTATTTTCATCCTGCTCTGCACCTTAATAGGGTCCCAGAAGAGCAGCAATCACACAGCCTCAATGGGAACTTCCACTCTCTTAGAGACCTGCTCCAGGAAGAAAGCTGGAGAAATGAGATAGACCAGAAACCCCTGAATGGCTTTCCCTAAGGCCACTTGGGTAATTTCCTTGACAGCTCTAGGGAAGAGTTTGAGAATTGCCTCCCTCTAGGATATTTTCCTGACTCCAGCCTGACCCCCCGCCCCCCCAGCTGAAATTCCCTTGCTGGTTTTCTATGCAAGCCCTAATCAGGGCCATTTAGCTTTGTTCTTAGTTACAGAAAACCTGCCCTGCCACCTGATACCTCAAATTTGTTGCTCTTCCGATTAGTAACTATTGCTTTGTCGGCAGGAATGTTGCCAATTTATAGAACATAGTTGATTTTTGCTGATGTTAATGCGGTTTGCAAAAGGCAATAGTAAAAAGTAGCTCACCAAAATGACATAAAAAGAACTTAACTGTACCCTAAAACAGCTGTCGCCGTATGCTTGTTTATCTTTGGTGGGTAGAATCTAATCTTTTTTTTTTTTTTTGCTATTTTGCCATTTTTGTTAAAAGATACATCCCAGCTTGAAGCATGAATTTTGCATTGGTGAAAATAAAACATGACTAAACTTGTTAATATCTTGGAAGGATCACACCATATCCAGTTTGGTATAGTGGTTAAAAGTGTTGAAATTAGGAGAAAATTAGGAGACGGAGTTAGAGTGCCAGAAAGCCAGCTGGGTGACTTTGGGCCAGTCCCTCTCTTTTAGAGTGGTTGTTGTGGAGAAACGAGGAAGAAGTATTGTGTATATTTGCCACCTTGAGTTACTTATAAAGGTGGAATAAAAATCAAATCAAATGGAATAGAATAGAATTCTACATTGGCCAAGTGTGATTGGACACACGGAATTTGTCTCTGGTACATAACCTCTCAGGGTACATTCAAGCAACAAAGTGATAAAACAGATCATAAATCATAAGATACAATTATAAATCATAAGATGCAAACAGTAATTTATAATCATAATATACCAATAGGAGAAAGTAGTAGGAAAGATGAGAGGTGAGAAAGATGAGAAAATGACAAAGATAATATGGTAGCAACAGAGACAACTACACAGGTAAAATATCTTCAGTCATGGATATTTAGGGTAAATATCCATCCTTGGTGGATGTTTGGAATAATGCTTTATGGGTACTGTCTCCTTAATACTCTTTTCCTCACCAAATGTATCTCTGAATACATTTCTCATTCTTCAATCTATTCCAACTGTCAAATAGGTTGGGGATGATTGGAATCCTATAGATTGGGTGGGTCAGAATGATTAAGCTTTGTCTTTGCAAGGTTAGTGCTGTGCCTTTTTAATATTGTGTGCAGAAGTTATGAGTCATGACTGCAGAAGTAATTTATTCTTTTTTTTTTAAAGGAAGAGTGTTGGGCGAGGTCTTGGTATGAGATGTTTAACTTGTTGTGGGGGGGTACGTTGCCCTTCCTCGGTGGCTTTCATAAGTTAAGGTTTTTGAAATAAAGCAAAGTCAAAGCCCTTCCATATTGCTGGATGTGTACACAAAAACATCAGATGTCAAGCTTGACTTAAAGGAAATATTCAGGACTGCATTCTCTGGGTGTATGTTGAGACTAAGCTGTATTTCTAAGTGCAGTGCAGGAAGTTCTGTGGAGAATGTTTAACCCAAAGTCTGAGAAATTGAGATCCTTCTTGCAAAAGAATTAAAACCTCAAAATTGTGAACTCCCCAAGAAGCTTGCTATGAAAGGAGATGATGCCTGGCCGTGCCTCCTTTTTAATTGCCTTGGATCTTGCCTGTGGGACGAGGAAATAGCACTAGCACTTAGACATATATGGCTCTTTCTAGTGCTTTGCGGTCCTCCGTAAAAGATTTACAGAGTCGACATATTGCTCCCCATCTCCCCAATCTGGGTTTTCATTTTACCAACCTCAGAAGGATGGAAGGCTGAGTCAGCCTTGAACAGGTCAGAATCGAACTCCTGGCAGTGAGCAGTGAGTTAGACTTGTAGTACTGCATTCTAACCACTGTGCCGCCATGGATCTTCTCCAAATTGCTGAGCTGAACAGCTTTAGTCTTGGGGCTCCAGATTATAAGAAACTCCTTCAGTTATTTATAACAGATGTTTATGGTTAATTTATACACATGCTTGTTTCAGGCACTTTTTGCATTAAGCATCCAACTTTCTTCAGGAAGTGCATTCTTATGGTGATGTTCATTTATGTGTAATATATGTATATGTGTCAATTTTGCCATTTTTGCAGATTCAGGAAAATTCCCCTGCTCAGCTGGCTGGATTAGAGCCATTCTTTGATTTCATACTTACCATAGGACATACCAGACTGGTAAATAGCTAAGATAAGCCAGTGTTTTCTGTGTGTACGTGTGTATGTACGTGTGTGTGTGCATGTGTGCACTTGCTTGTGTCGCTGTTCTTGCAAATATATATTGATGTTTCAGCTGACTTTATTTTTGAAATTGCTTCAGTCAACTTTCACTTTCAGGGAATGCCCACCATTGGGCTTCCTGCTGTTAAATCTCTTAATAGATAGAGATCTTCATCAAATTTTCTCTGTGTGTTTGGATTATGTATGAGATTCCTTTAGTCTTAACCAATTATGGTCAAGAGACCAAAAAACTGCACAAGAAGAAGCAGATTACAGAGAAGTATTATTCATAATATTCTGTGAATCTGTAGGTAAACATAAAATAAAACTGAATACAGGTAGGCTGACAACCATTCATTTAATGACTGTTCAATTACACTGGCACCGAAAAAATGTGACATGGGCATTTTTTATACTTATGACCATTGAGCATCCCCATAGTCATATGATCAAAAGTTGGGTATTTGGCAACTGACTCATATTTACGACAGCGGGAGTGCCCCAAGGTCATGTGATCACCATTTGTAACCTTCCCAGTAGCTTCTGACAACTAAAGTCAATGGGGGAGGCTGGATTTGCCTAATGACCATGTGATTCACTTAATAACCACAGTGATTTTGTTTAACTATGGCAGTAAATGTCATAAAGTGGTGCAAAACTCAATAGTTGCTTTCTTTAGTAACAGAAATCTGGAGCTCAACTATGGTCATAAGTTGAGGATTACCTGTAAAGATATAGATATGGCAGTTCAGTATCCTTAATCACCTTAACGATCAAACTTGGAAGTCTTCTGATAACATTTGCAATCAAGCAGAACTTTGCTATATTTTTGGAAATTTTAGTAGAAAATTCAGCAAATAAGCAAATGAGTGAGTTAGGATCACCGTATACTATTACTGCAAAAAGAAACAGGGAGTATGAAAATAGTGAGTTTCTACATTTATGCAAGAAGAACCAAATGCACTGATATAGAATAGGTGGTATCTGATTCAATAGTAGTAACTGCGAAAGGGATCTTGGAGTCCTAGTGGACAGTTACTTAAATATGAGCCAGCAGTGTGCTGCAGCTGCAAAAAAGCCAACACAATCCCAGTCTGCATTAACAGAGGGCTAGAATCAAGGTCACGTGAAGTGTTAATACCATAACTTTAGTCACCACCATGTAAAAAGATGCTGAGACTCTGGAAATTGTGCAGAGAAGAGCAACAAACATGATTAGGGAACTGGAGGCTAAAACATGAAGTACATATGGTTGTAGGATTTGGATATGTCTACTTTAAAGAAAAGAAGGATTCGGGGTGACATAATAGCAGTTTTCCAATATTTGAGGGGCTTCCACAAAGAAAAGGTTGGTCAAATTATTCTCCAAAGCACTTTAAGGCAGGACAGGAAGCAATGGGTGGAAGCTAACCAAGGAGAGAAGCAACCTAGAACCAAGGAGAAGCTTTCTGACAGTGAGAACAATTAATCAGTGGAACAACTTGCCTCCAGAAGTTGTGGATGCTCCAACTTTGGAAATTTGCAAAAAGAGATTATACATTTTTGTCTTAAATAGTATAGGGTTCCTTCCTGTGCACGGGGTTGGACTAGAAGACCTCCAGGGTCCCTTTCAACTTGGTTATTCTGTTATTCCATTCTGACCGTATGGATACATGGTTGTGTAAATCGCGCCAAGAATGCAGATAATAAATCAAATATGGAATGAATGGATGGTATAAAGAATGTAAAGCAGGAGCTTGCAACTTGAAGTCTTTGGACCAAATTGCAACCTTGGCAGGTGCAGCCTGCTTCTCCCTCCCTTATCACTGACTCAGTTGCATTTTAGAAACCTCAGGAATTTAGCCAATCGCTTTAGGGAACGGTGGGGAGTTATGGCCCCTTTATGACTTACGGACACCCAGAATTCCTGAGCCACGAGTCGTAAAAGGGCTTTAGGGTATGACATGAAGAACCAAGCATGTTCGCTTCTTAGATCAGCTTTCCAGAACGGGAGATGGTGGCCAGAACGCTCTTCGACTGACGTGCTTGGAAATTGTGCGCAGAGGTTGCTGTATAAGCAGCCGTAGGTGGCTCTTTGGGGAAGTTCTGGAGTCATTGCTTCTTCCTCCCTTTTGGTAGCTTTGAGACGGATTCATGCCATCAGACGCGGCTTGGGGAAGGAAAAGTTGGGCTTGCAACTCTTTCAATCCCTTCTCCATGCAGGCGCAAGGATTTGATGCGGACGTTGCAGTGCTTGTCTTCAAACCAGATACAGGTTGTCCTTGACTTACAACAGTTCGTTTAGTGACTGTTCAGTGTTACAATGGCACTGGAAAAAGTGACTTTAAGACCATTTTTCAAACTTACGGCCGTTGCAGCATCCCCGTGATCATGTGATCAAAATGCAGGTGCTTGGCAGTTGTCTCATATTTATGACGGCTGCTGTGTCCAGGGGCCTAATGATCCACTTTGGTGACCTTCTGACAAGCAAAGCCTTTGGGGAAGCTGGATTCACTTAACCACCAGACTGCTAACTTAACATCTGCAGTGATTCACTTAACAACTGTGGTAAGAAAGAGCATAAAATGGAGCGAAATTAACTTAACCAATGTCTCATTTTGCCACATTAATTTTGGGCTTGATTATGGTTGTAAGTTGAGGACTACCTATAATAGGAATCGAAGCGCAACTGAATTGGGTGAGAGCTTTTTTCCCCCCCTCTTTAAAATATGTATTTTAGAAAGCAAAATCCAATTCTAAATACATGCCAGTTGCCAAGCACCCAAAGTATAACTGGTGCTGCAACGGTTGTAAGTATGAAAACTTATCATAAGACACACACACACACCCAGTGCTATTGTAACTTTGGTCACTAAAGGAGCGCTTGTAAATCAAGCACCACCTGCAACAGTTACTGTAATGCCAACCTGATTATGTGGTGAGAACACGTCCCGCCTCTTCTCAGCTTGAAACATCTTTGAGCTTTCAAACCTGTTTGGTACAATCACGCTGCCCCTTTTAGCCCAGCTTTGGAAGGAAGACAAGGGAGGATATTGACTTCTTTGCTGAGTCACCAAAATCAACTCTCAATATTTGACCAGTTATAATCCTCCTTGTTAATAATCAACAGATTAGAAGCTGCTTGACAAAGGCACACAGAGACGAGAAAGAAGTCTAGCTGGTAACTTCCAGCTGTTATTTCATTTAGTCGACGTGGCAGCCTGTCATCTTGAGTACAGGTAGTCCTCGGCTTACAACCACAATTGAGCCCAAACTTTCAGTTTTTAAGTTGAGGTATTTGTTAAGTGGAGTTTGCCCCATTTTATGATTTTTTTCTTGCCACCGTTGTTAAGTGAATCTCTGCAGTTGTGAAGTTAGTACCACAATTATTAGGCTTCCCCGTTGGCTTGTCAGAAGGTCGCAAAAGGGAGATCACGTGACACACCTACTCACCCACCCAGGGCACTGCAACCGTCATAAATATGAGTCAGTTGCCAACTGTCTGAATTTTGATCACAGGATCACGGGGATGTTGCAAAATGTGAAAAACGGTCGTAAGTAATTTTTTTCAGTGCTGTTGTAACTTTGAACGGTCACTAAATGAACTGTTGTAAGTTGAGGACTACCTGTATTATCATTTTTATCTAGACCTATTTGCTTAGAAGTCATGTTTTGGGCCAAAAGATGCCTTAAGCATTGCATTTAAAAAACAAAAACAAAAATATCAGGACAGAAATGTTGGACTTTTCTTCTGCAGATCCTGTTTTAAGGCAGCAACTTCTGTTTGTATGAATAAACATCTGGATTTGCCATCATAAATTTTCAAGAATTTTAACTTTTATTTTTCAGAACCTCAAACATCTGTTAAACAAAACAAACCTCCCAAACCAAAATAAATACTAATATTGCCACATTCCACTCTAATTTTTTACTAATCCCAAATAAAATTGGTCAGTAAATTTACACCAATTTACAGTATAGCTAATCCTCAACATGACCACATTGGAGCCCAGAATTTCTGTTGCTAAGCAAGATAGTTAAGTGAGTTCTGCCCATTTTAACAACCTTTTTTGTCACAGTTGTTACGCAAATCACTGCAATTATTGAGTGAATGTCATGCGGTCATTAAATTAATCTGGCTTACCTTTGCTTGTTGGAAGTCTGCTGGAAAGGTTACAAATGGTGATCACATGACCCCCAGTTTAGTCCAACTGTCATAAATATGAGCCAGTTGCGAGTATTGAATTTTGATCACGTGACCATGGGGAGGCCGCAGTGGTCATAAGTGTGAAAACAAATCACGCCACTTTTTTCCAATGGCTCTGTAACTTCACCAAATGAGTGATAAGTCTGTACTTAATCTGGAAGTAGGTTGAGTGGGACGTGCTTTCCATCAACAACTGTAAAATTTAAGTTTAAATTTCTTTCCAGATTTGGAAAGAACCGAGCTGGAAGAATGGCTCACCGTCTAGAATGAATGAATGAATGAGTCAATCAGTCAATCAATGAATGAAACTGTTTCCTGCCTTTTATGGCCACAGATGCTTCCATTCTAGGTTTTTATTTTAACGTGTTTGCTACCACGTCCAGATACAAGGCCTTTGATTTTGTTTTTAACCCCTCCCCTGCATATAGAATAAAGAAGGCGACACCCTGAAAGATCTACTAAAAGCCAACGTTGAGAAAGCTGTGAAACTGGAAGTCTACAACATAAAAACGATGAAAGTGCGGGAGGTGGAGATCATCCCCAGCAACATGTGGGGAGGGCAGGGACTGCTAGGCGCCAGTGTGCGGTTCTGCAGTTTCCAAGGCGCCAATGAACACGTCTGGCATGTGCTGGTAAGCGGGAAAGTGGAACCCTGTGTTGCATTGGGCTTTCTGTGATCGCTAGTCCTGATTAGTTGTTATCTCGGGTCACAGCCGGATGATCAGATTTCAGCTGCTGAGAAGCACTTCCGGAAGAAGAGACCCCTTGCATGTTTATTAGCAGCTTACCTGAAGGACCGTCTCTTTCCGGCTCCATCTACCTGGCCTACCAGAGTGGGATGCAGGGATTGCTGCAGGTCCCATCTCCTAATCTGGCAGGATCCAGAAGAAGGGCCTTCTCCGTGGTGGCTCCCTCCCTGTGGAACTTCGTCCCCTCAGGGATTAAACTGGCCCCCATTTTAACACTCTTTCACAAGGTCCTGAAGACCTGGCCTTTGCCAACAAACCAGAGTGGGATGGAGCTCATCGAGTGGCGGGTTTAATTGCTTGCTATCGCCGTGGAGTGTTATGTGTTGTGTGCTATCGTTTTTATTCTTTTAATATTCTTCTTTTATTCTATTTTTATTCTTTTTATATTCTTCTTTTATTGTTTGTAGGCTGCTCGCTGAGAGTAGTGGGTGGCCATATAAATCAGACAAGACAGATTTATGTGGCTGCCCCACTCACAGTGGTTCCAGGTGGCATATAGCATCAAAGACCAAACAAGATGAAAATTCCAGAAATCCCCATGCCCTTTGGCGATGACAAACACAATCATACAATCCTCTTGATCGGCTCCAAAACAAGCTGAGATCCTCAGACCTGCTGAGAGAACCTTTTTTCGGAGCCTTCCGGAAGAATAACAAGGATGAGGCCAGCTTTATTGCCTTGGGAAGGACGTTCCAAAGGGAGGGAGCCACTACGGAGAAGGCCCTGCTTCTATGTCCCATCAATTATCGAGGCGGGACCCATAATCTATCCCACCTTCCTGCTTTGAATGAGCAAGGGGAGGTGGTCCTTCAAAAGGTGCATCTGAGTTAGACAGGTTGGGAGGGCTCCTTGAGTTCCTGTGAAACGGCCGTATTGTTCCATGGCCGCACAATCCCCTTTCACGACCTTCTGACAAGCAAAGTCAATGGGGAAGCCGGATTCACTTCAAAACCACGTTGCTAATTTAACAACTGCGGCAATTTGCTTAAAACGTGTGGCAAGAAAAGTCATGAAACGGGTCAAAACTCGCTTAACAAATTTCTCACCAACATAAATTTTGGTCGTAAGTTGAGGACTACCTGTGTAGTACAGACAAAAAACTATTTCAGAGGCTTGAGCAGACACTCCGACTCCTGTGCACGGCGAGCTAGCCAAGACTTCAAGGATGTTCAAAAGGCCAACAGAAATCGGGGCTGATATAATCTGTGGGGGAGACGAGGTTCTAGAAGGTTCTTCAATGGATGGGGTCCGTAGCATTCCTCTAGTGCAGGGGTGGTGGGATGATACCGGTTTGGCCCGGTTCTATTGATCCTGTAGCTGGGAAAAGCAGCTGACACCAAACCGGTTCAGTGTTTGGCCTACCCGCCTGCCCGGGCTCTAGGCTGTCCTTTATTCCCTGCTTTTCCCTCTGCAGCTGCTTTGTGCGGCACAGCTGAGGTTGAAAAAGCGGGAAACAAGGATTTTTAAACACTGCACACTCAAGCACAGAGCTTGTCAGCTCTCCAGGCGGCACAGCTGATGATTCCTTGCAAACGCCGCACCCACGATTGTCTGCAGTTCAGAGAACCAGCAAAGCGCTCCACTGGCTGGGCCCTCCCCCACCCCAAAAAAAAAAAAAAAAAAAAAAAAAAAAAATGCGCGCCATCCAACTTGCCTGGGTTGGTAAGTTGCTATTTTTCCTTTTTTTTCCCCCCCGACCATCAGCTGTTCTGCTAGGAGATTTAGATTAGCTAGAAAGCAGGAAGTCTTTGGATTTCTTGCTTTCTAGCTAATCTAAAAGCAGAGCCGAACCTTCCTTAGGACTGAAGCTTCTACTTTTCAGTGCAGACTCAGGTAGCCGATTGCAGATTGATAGATCTCTAAGTTAATCCATGGTTCTGTGAGCAACTCAGTCTGCCTGCCTGCTTTGCTTGCTTTTGGATAAAAGTTGCTCTTTTATATAAAAAAATCAATATTTACATAAATATAATATTTACATACAAGCCATGACCACCAAGCCATACGCAGTCAACAAGCCATGCCCACCCAGTCACATGACCACCAAGCCACACCCACAAAATAGGCCACAGAACCGGTGGTTAAGAAATTTGAATCCCACCCCTGCTCTAGTGCCAGACTTGAGGGGATGGGTAGACATGGATAAGTGATGCTGCAAATAAGCTGGCCCCGTGCCATGGAGAACTATTTATGATGTAACTACCAGCACTTTGAATTGAACCCTCGAAAGGATCGAGGGCAGCTCAAGAGCCCAAGGTATAAACCCAGCACAGCTGCATTTTGTATCAGCTACATCTTCTGGATCAATGTTGCCAGCCCAACCGCAGCAACTTTAAGCTGTGTGGACTGCAACTCTCAGAATGCCTGGGAATAACCCAGCTGCCCTTGGCTGATCTGGAATACTTTGCAAGGTCAGTAGAGAAAACCAGTCATGTCAGCTGGACAGGAAGGAAAGCCACTGTGTTGCTCCCAGAGGGAAAAAAAACATGGCCTTCCCATGGAGTTAGGATGAGTCTAGCTTGAGAACTTCACTTAGAACTTTACAAGTGGTCCTCGACTTATGACTCACTCATTTTAATAACCTTTTGAAGGTTACAACAGCGCTGAAAAAAGTGACCTATGACCAGTTCTCGCATGACCCTACACCGTCTCGTGATCAATATTCAGGCGCTTGGCCACTAGCACATGATCCCCATTTGCAACCTTGCCAGGGGGTTTCCGATGAGTGAAGGCAGTGGGAGGAAAACAGATTCACTTAATGACCATGGTAAGAAAGGCTGGAAAAACAGATGTGATTTAATGTCATCATTTAACAACAAATTCTGAACTCTCCCACTGTGGTCATAAGATGGAGGCTACCTTAGAAAGACTATTTTTGAGAAAATTGTGGTGTTTCTCCTGTGCCCCTCCTTTTGATTTAGGGCGCAGCTTTCAAATCTCTGTCCTTTTAGGAGCTTTTCGCACACTAATTTGCTTGCTTTGCCAGTTAAGTGTATTAGAAGATATTATTTTGTTTAGGTGGAGCACCACTTAGATGTTCCTGGTGCCTGGCCAAAGCACATGTACTGCTCTTTTGTGCCCTCAGTTCTGCCACCTCTATCTTGGATAGAATTAAAAATTATTTGTTAATAAGTTAATTCCTGCAATTAATCTGCACTAGAAAAGTCAATTTGCAGGAGAAAAAGATCTGTTGCATATTACAGAATGCAACCATACTTAATTAGAATAGAAACATTTGCATCCTTAACATAGGGTAGAACTTTTTTGATGGAAAAACAGAAATGCAAGGAACTTTTTCATTACACCATATTTAAAATGAGGAACAAGTATCCCCCCCCCCCCAAAAAAAAAACAAAAAAAACCCACCATTGATCCATCTACTTATCTGATAGTTCATGAGATTTCCTCGGAATAGTTGGGTGCAGCGGCTGAGGCATTAGGCTATAAACTGGCAGACGCCTGAGTTCCCCTCTGTCCTTAGCCATGAGAGCTGGCTGGGTGAGTCACTCATCTTAGCGAACTCACTGACATGGTATTGGGGGAAATAGATGGAGGAAAGAGGACTATGTACGCTGGCCAACTTGAGTTACAAAAATAACAAAGGTGGGAGAGACATAAATAAAATCTGATTAGAAACCAGAAAATGGTGAATTCTCATCCTGCCTTAGACGTGGTTAGCTTTGTGGCAGTTCCTCCCTCCTCTCAGTCCTAAGAAAGCCATAGCAAACCAGTTCCAAAACCGTGCCAGGAAAACAGCTGGGACTTTTGTGGGTAGTTGTGCAAAAGGAGTCAAGACCCTCCCCACTCATGCGCATCTCTCAAAAAGGTTTACGAAGCACTGAATTAAAGGGCTTTTCCCCACTGGCTTTGCTGAATAGGCTTGAGTAACATCACCTGTAGCCCTAACCGTGGTCTTTTCCTCTTGTCTAGGATGTGGAGCCAGCTTCTCCGGCAGCCTTAGCCGGCCTGAAGCCCCATTCTGATTATATAATTGGATCGGATCAGATACTCCACGAGGTAAAGATCCAGAAGGATTATAACTGACTCCGAAGTGAAGTCAGGGGAGATTGGTCTTCAGTGGTGATGGCTGTGAATATTTCCTAGGCTTTGTTCTGTGCTTGCAGGGTTGAAGAACGTGGCATTATTGTGTTTTGCTATATTTTGAGGCGTTTTCCAAGGATGGCATGGAGAGCACGGCATCCTAAAACTGGAATTGAAACATGCAAATGAAGTTTCGAAGATTCAGGCCAAAAGTATCTTAAAAGGCTACGTCATGGCAACTGGACCAAACTTTATTAAAACTGAGACATTTTGTTACTCATCCAAATGACTTCTAAACGTCTCAGTTTTAATAAACTTTGGTCCGGTTACCATGATTTTACTTTTTAATATGCTTTAAGGCCTGGATGATTAAATCTCCATTTACATGTTCTTTTCATTTTGGGGAGAAACCTCCCTGTGATCTGTATGGCAAGAGTTAAGTTCTTTCCAACAGCTCTCTGACTCTCTCTCTGCCTATCCAAATTCTCATTTTGACTGAAGAAGTTACTTAGATGAGTAACGAAACGCCTCAGTTTTAATAAACTGTGGCCCAGTTGCCATGATTGAGCCTTTTAAGAAGTGGAATTGAAAGGGACCCCAATGATCTTGACTTGTTCCTTCATTGTGCTGGAAAACCAATTTATCCATTGATGACCGGGGGCGGGGGGTGGTGGCTGCGGGGGGTGTCTCCCTGATCAAAGAACAGGCTGTAAATCCTCTCCCCTAATGCTTTATTCCAGAAACTGGGCGGCTGGTGGTGGTATAAATGGGAAGTGTGCTCCAGACAGTATATAGTTAATTCGGAATTGGGATAGTTAAGTGGGAATTGGGAGCTGTCCCCTTAGGGGAATGCATCATGGTAAATGTAATTAAGGCATCATGGGAAATGTAGTCCATGTCATGTGGTCACATCTGTAATCCTGATTGGTCACTAAATTGACCCTTGGTTCCTGGCCCGGACCCAGCAGCATGCTGGCTCCCTCTGCTCCATCGTTATGGGATGAAAGATCACTATAATTTTACACTATGAAGTCAGCTGTTTCAAATAGCTAGACATTAGATGAATCTCGACATAACCGTGAGTTACAGCTTGAGAATGCCTTGTGAACCAATAAAGAAACTTTGTATGGAAGCCTTTGTGGAATATGTCTGTCTGTCTTTATATTCAGCCAGCGATCAAAAGACAGAACAGAAAAATTATAATGATCTTTCGCCCCGTAACGATGGAGCCCAGGGAGCCAGCATCCTGCTGGGTCCAGGCAAGGAAAGGGAACCCAACCAGGGTGGCATGTTTGCTGCAGACTCTGAATGACGGATCTCTCTTTCGTGCAGTCTGAAGATTTCTTCTCCTTGATTGATTCCCATGAGGGAAAGCCTCTGAAGCTGGTGGTCTACAACACGGAAACGGATTCCTGCCGAGAGGTTTTTGTAACGCCCAACGGAGCCTGGGGTGGCGAAGGAAGGTATGAAAGCACCGGAAGGCAGAACAAGGGATCGGTGGATGGAAACGAAACAAGGAGAGAAGCAACCTGGAATTAAGGAGAAATTTCCTGATATTAACCAGTGAAATAGGTTGCCTTCAGACCATTTTGGGCTCCTGTGCCCAAAATTGCGAGTGCCAGCACACCCGTACTCGCGGGCCAGCACCCAGAATGCAATGTGCGCCCCCCCTCTGCACACCCCCTGCACATGCACGCGCAGTCCCCACCCGCTTACCTGCACTGCACCTCACAACTGATTTTTTGGTTGGTTTGAGGCATTCTTCGGCCTCCCAGAGGCTTGGAAAAAGCCTCTGCAAGGCTTCTCAGGCCAAATGATAGGCCGGTTTTGTCCCTTCTGGTATTACAGGAAGTGATGAAACGGGCCTATAATTCGGTCTGAGAAGCCTTGCAGAGGCTTTTCCCAAGCCTCTGGGAGGCCAAAAAAGGCCTCAAACTAACCCGGAAAAAAAATCAGCTGTGAGGTGCAGCATGTGCAGTGAGGTAAGTTTGCCTGCGGCTCGCATGCCAGCATAAATGGCAGTTCACCATTACGGGTATAGGATCTTACTTTTTTCCTTCAGAGTCAGTCTGTGGGGCAAAGACATAGTAGCACTTTGCAAATCACTCAACAGTTGGTTTTTCCTATAATTTCCCACAGCAAAGGGGGAAAAGTAGAGATGATTAAACCGATTGCTTTATTCAAAGAAAAGAACATACCTAATTTTGTTTTCATTTGGAAACCACTTCTGGATTGTGTGCTTGTGATTTAAGGAAAAAATGAAATTTTGGTTTTGCTGATTAGATAGATTTGTTGTTGTTGTTGTTGTACAAATAGCTAGTGCAGGTAATCCTCGATTTACAACCACAAGTAAGCCCCAAATTTCAGTTGCTGAGTTAAACATTTGTTAAGTGAGTTTGCCCCATTTTGCTACCTTTCTTGCCACAGTTATTAAGCGAATTGCTACAGTTGTTAAGTTAGTGAATCTGGCTCTGGCTCCCCCATTGACTTTTTACTTGTTAGAAGGTCACAAAAAGGGATTGCATAACCCCGAGACACTGCAACCGTCATAAATATAAATCGGTTGCCAAGCGGTAGATTTTGATCATGTAACCTTGGGGATGCTGCAATGGTCGTAAGTGTGAAAAACAGCCTTAAGTCACATTTTTCAGTGCCGCTGTAACTTTGAATGGTCACTAAATGAACTGTTGTAAATCAAGGACTATCTGTACATATTATTGTGGAAAAGTAAAAAGTTGAGGCTGTAATATTTTGCAGTGTGCTAAAAAAACCACCTTTTTTCTATGTTCTCTTCTGTCCCACACTTTCACTCTTCCCCCTTTTCTTCCCCCAGTTTCCCATTATTTTAATTTTAACTTTGTGTTTTATAGTCTGATAGATTAATAACAATTTGAAGACACAGAAAGTAGAGGTTCCCTTAATAGTGGGGTTTCTGTTTGCAGCTCCCCCCGTTACGTTTTAAAAACCAGAGTGTGCACCCTGTTTCTGACAACATTCACTTTCTTGTGCAGCTTAGGATGTGGCATTGGATATGGCTACCTGCACCGAATTCCCACACAGGCTGCTGCCCCAAAGAGAGCGGCTGAGGTCTCTTCTTTTTTGCCCTCTGGAGACTCACTGATCGAATCCCCAGCTAATGGCTACATGGAGGTAAGGAGGTTTCATTCTGGACATGGCTTAATTAACTCCTGTACACCTGGCGACCAAATTTATAGCTGGAGGCGGGTATCACAGGCCTCTTCAGTTCTTGCTGCTGAAATGTGGAGGTTGGTAGCCAAAGAGCTGTGGTATAAGATGGATGCATTAAATTTCTGATATCTTATTTCGTTTGCCCCCTTCCTTGCTTAGCCTGAGTTATTTTAAGAAGTCAAAATATTCTGGTCAAGTGCTTTATGCTTCTTTGGTAAGACTACACAGGGAATACTGCATCCAATTTTGGTCACCGAGATACAAAGGAAGACTATGAAAAGTGCAGAAAAGAGCAAAAAGATTAGGGGACTGGAGGCTAAAACATATGAAGAACAGTTGCAGGAATTGGGTATCTCTAGTCTAGTGAAGAGAAGGACTAAGGGAGACAGGATAGCAGCATTCCAGTATCTCAGGCGCTGCTCCAAAGAAGAGGGAGTCAAGCTATTCTCCAAAGCACCTGAGCGCAGGACAGGAAGCAATGGGTGGAAATTAATCATGGGGAGATCCAACCTAGAGCTAAGGAGAAATTCCCTGACAGGGAGAATAATTAATCGGTGGAACAACTTGCCTCCAGAAGTTGTGAATTCTCCAACACTGGAAGTTTTTAAAAAGAGATTTGGGCAGCCATTTGTCTGAAATGGTATATAGTCTATAGGGGGTTGTATAAGATGACCTGCAAGGTCCTTTCCAACTGTGTTATTTTGTATTCCCAGCCACCACTAAGAGCTGTGGTGGTGCAGTGATTAGAAGGTAGTATTGCAGGCTAATTCTGCTGACTGCAAGAAGTTTGATTCTCCCCAGTTGAAGGTTGACTCAGCCTTCCATCCTTCCGAGGTGGGTAAAATGAGGACCCAGATTGTTGGGGGCAAGAGGCTGACTCTGAGAGGGCTGTAAAAGCGCTGTAGCGGGATACATATGTCTAAATGTTATTGCTGTTGCTATTCTGGTCCTGTCCTTCTAATGATGCCCTTGAATTATTGCCCTGCTTCCAGGACCTTTGACTGTGAGGAAAAAGGCACTAAAAGGGTATCTACCTCCAGCCTGGGGGGAAAAAATGCGGCCCATCCAAGTTTCAGTCGTAGTTCCTTCTGAAAGAGAAGAGTCCGTGTAATTCCATCTTCTTTCTTTTTCTGGCAAATAATACCCCTACCGTGCCACAGTACAGGTAGTCTTCGCTTAATATAAAGCAGAAAAGGTTTTCATCTTGGGACTCCCTAATTGGGAATTCCCTGTCCCAATTAGAGATAGTCCTCGACTTAACAAGTTTGTTTAGTGCAGGGGTGGGCAAACTACGGCCCGCAGGCCACATCCGGCCCGTTGGTCTTTTTGATCCGGCCTGCCGAAGATTGGTACAGAATTAAGATTTGATGTGAATGATTGAATGATTGCATTCATTTGATTTTGACTTGTAATGACAGGCATTTCGACACCAGGTGGTGGAGGCCCCGAGCCAAAAAGTTTGCCCACCCCTGGTTTAGTGATTGAGTTTACAACGGAACTGAAAAAAGTTACTTATGACCTTCTTTAGTACATATGACCATTGCAGCATCTCCTTGGTTGCATGATGAAAATTTGGACGCTTCGTAACTGACTCATGTTTAAGACGGTTGCAGTGTCCCAAGGTCACTTTATCCCCTTTTGCGACCTTCTGACAAGGGGAGCCACGTTCACTTAAAATCAGATTGCTAACTTATCAACTGCAGTGATTCACTTAACAATTGTGGCAAGAAAGGTCATAAAATGAGGCAAAGCTCAATTTAACAAATGTCTCGCTTAGCAACAGAAATTTTGGACTCAATTGTGGTCATAAGTAGAGGACTACCTGTACTATCATTTTAAACCAGTAATTTCTTAAATAAAGGTTAGTCCCATATGAAATTAAGATGCTGGACTAGGAACTTGGGGGCTTAAGTTCAGTTCTCCAGACCACCAGAGAAGTCTGGGCCAGTTGCGCTCTCATTCAGTCCAGCCTACCCCACAGAGTTGTTGTGGAGGAAAACAGGAGTGCTCCACCCAACATCTTGAAGAGCTCTTGAAGGGAAGGTAGGATGTAAAATCTAATCAGTAATGCATTTGATTGGCCAAATTGAACCTGAAGAATAATCTGGGAATTCGGCCAGCCACCTGTGTTGTTCGGCAGAGCAAGAAGCTGCCTAGGAGGCACCTGAATGGCAGCGGGGCCAGGTCGTCCCCCAGGCGGTCAAAATGGATTCTTTTATTTTAGGCTTCCTTGATGGCACCTCACTCCAAAACCGAAGAAACCGAGAGTTTGGGCCACATCTCCAATCAAAGCGTGACTGCCTATTCCTTAGAAAATTCCCTGCACCTTCCTCCTGCTCCTCCTCCTCCTCCTGTCCAGAGAGTCATGGATCCAGGTAATTCAGAATCTCTCCTTTTACTTATTTTCCCACCCATGCTGACATTTAAGGGAGTTGTGGCCCAGCGCCTCAAGAGGATAGCGGGTTGGGCAAAGCACCGCAGAAGATGCTTCACATCAGGGCAACGTCTGCAGATGTACGAGCTGAATTTCTTGGCCTCTGACTACTAGACAAAATGCGCAAGGCATTTTTCCTGCAGAGAACAAATACGTGTGTAGGAATGCAGTGGGAACATTTATCACTGCAAAGGCTTGTTTGGTCAGCTTTCTGATTCTTTTCCTTGCAGAACCCTTTCCTCTACATCTTCACACCCATGTCCTCTTTTAATGACCGAGAATTTTCTAAGCATCTTCCAATCCCAGGTCCGAGATGTATGAAATCAGCCCTCCTCACTCTTACCTTGGTATAGCAGGGTAGCATGGTTCCAGAAGACTCTTAAGTCACTTATATTTACACACTGACTGAGTAAAATAAACCAGGATGGCCCACACTCATTCGTACAAGTCAAGAAACCACAGCACTAGCGGTATATCTCCCTGATGTTCAGTTCTGTTGTATCAAAGGGGAAACCAGAATGTTCTCTGTGCTGTTAAAATTGTTTTGGTTCTGGTTAGCTTGTCTGATAGTTTGGTCAGGCATATTTTTGTTTTTCTTTCTTTCCTTTCGTCTTTTTTTCTCCCTGCAGATTTTATAGATATGTCTGGAGCTTCTTTTCCTGAATTAATTGACTTAGTAAAAACAGCCCACGTGCCTTCCTCCCCTTCTGCCACCTTATCAGAGGTCCTGGAAGCTTCTGGAAGCTTATCCACACATAGTGAAACTCCTTCATATTTTGGTAAGCAGAGTTAGAAGCCGTTTGGCCTGAAAAGATAAAAGGTGGAAGGCCCATGCTACATACTTTATCACTGTGGTGATTTATTTCTTGTTTCTGCTTTTATTTCTCCCCTGTGAACATTTATAATGTAAATATTGTTGTGGAAATTGCACGGGAGCTGTAAGATTAGAGTGGTATAAAAATCAATAACGGCAAATCACCAAGAAATAATCACATCCGCTTGAATCATAAAGAGAATTAGGATTTTTGGCATATCCAAAATACTGGTAGTCCTTATGATCAGAGTCGGGACCAGAATTTCTGTTGTTTAAGGAAGGCGGTTGTTAAATGAGTTTGTACTGTGGTGATTAAACAAATTGCTACAATTGTTAAGTGAATCACATGGTTGTTAAGTGAATCTGGATTCCCCCATTGACTTTGCTTGTTGAAAGCTGGCTGGGAAGGTTGTAAATGGTGAATCACAGGATGCTGCGACCGCCATAAAAAAATGCAAGTGCCAAAATTTTGATCCCAGCAACAATTGTGTGAGTTTTAAGTCATTTTTTTCAGTAGCCTTGTACAGTCTCTAAACAGATGGTTGTAAGAGTTGACTATCTAAAAAAACAACTCCTTCAAGCTCAACTGCTTAGCAGCAATATAGATGTGTTTTTTCATTACTTTTTTTCCCTAGTATTTTCTTTCAAATCCCCAATCTACCTTCCCTTACTGCTCTAGGATTTCTTGGTGCTCTCCTATCTAAATAGTAACTACACATACTATGGCTAGATTTTTGAGACCAGCCAAAGGCTGTAATTTTAGTATTTCAAGATAAAAATGCTTTTTTGTAGCATCTTAAAAGACTTGAAGTCTTTCCACCGTAATGAATAAAATGCAATATTGGATAGATTTTACTAAACTTACTTGTTTCTCCCCCTTCCTTACCTCGTAGGGCAGACATTATCTAAACAGGCACTGCAGATGAAAATGTCTGAACAACTTTATAAACTTTATGGAGAATTATGGTGGCTAAAATTCATTAGCCAGTCATATGTATCCTCACCCAGGGATGAGTTCTCTGTCAAAATACAGGTAGTTCTCGAATTAGAAACACTTCATTTAATGACCAAAGTTACAACGGCACTGAAGAAAATAACTTATGACCATTTCTCATACTTACGACCGTTGTAGCATCTCAAGATGCTTGGTAACTGATTTCACATTTATGATGGTCGCAATGTCCCTGGGGGGTCATGTGATCCCCTTTTGCAACCTTTTGGCGAGCAAAGTCAATGAGGAAGGCAGATTCACTTAACCGTGTTACTAACAACTGCAGTGATTCACTTTACAGCAAGAAAGGTCATAAAATGGGACAAAATTCACTGAACAAATGTTTCACTTTAGCAACAGAAATTCTGGGCTCAGCTGTGGTCGTGAGCTATCTGTAACCTGGTTAAAAAAATACCTTCATGAATATTCTGAAAGCATGTGTGCCAACAGTTTAATATTTATATAATGAATGTGTATGTGTGCATTAATGAATGTTTAATACAGAGGAAGTACCAAAACCCAGCCCTATAGGCCAATCAGCATGTTTTATTATTATTATTTTCAGGAAAAAAAAGTCAATGTACTTAGAAATGTTCAAAAGCCCTACGCCAAATGAATTTTAGAAGAAAATGGTAACCAATTTGAACATTTAATATCCATAAAATATATTGATGCTTCTTAACCTTGGGCATTTTAGGGTGAGGGGATTTTGACTCCCAGAATACCTCAATCAGCATTCTGAGTTGAAATACATCTTAAAACGGCTAAGGTTGGGAAACACTGTAATAAATAATCTGCATTTTGGACAGAGACTGGCCGAGCTAGGGAGAGGAGTCAAACGGGGAATTAGTCTGGAATCCCTATGTGGGCACAAAGAGAGAGGGAGAGAGAACTGCCTTGAAAGTGATATGTCAGAATGGAAAAGTATTTGGGAGACAATATCCTTACTAAACATGAGCATTTTGTTTCAGGAAAGTTCATGCCATTTCTTTTTTCAAATATCAGCAAGATCTGTGCCCACTGTCCTTCGTAAATATAGTTAGTCTTCCACTTATGACCACAAATTTCTATTGCTAAGTGAGATCATTAACTGATCTTTGCCTTATTTCTTGCCACAATTGTTAAGTGAATCATTATTGTAGTTGTTAAGTTAGTAGTATGGTTGTAAAGTGAATCTGGCTTCCCCCATTGAATTTGCTTGTCAGAAGGGGATGACATGACCCCGGGATATTGCCATGGTCATAAATGTGAATCAGTTGCCAAGTGTCTAAATTCTGATCACGTGACCATGGGGATGCTGCAATGGTCTTAAGTGTGAAAAATGGTTATAAGTCACTTTTTTCAGTGCAGTTGTAACTTGGAGCAGTCATTAAATGAACTGTTCATTGTACGTCGAGGACTACCTGTACTACAAACGTTTGCTTGTTTGTCTGTTTTCAGACCGGGCCTCTCTTCCGTTCTCAGAAGAATCGGTATCTCTTCAAGCAGACGGGAGCTCTCACCCCGAATTCCTCGAGGGAAGCCCTTCCGTGTCTCCTCCACCAGCCCTTCCTATGGACGTGTCACCTGGACTGGATGCCGATGCTCAGGAAACTGTCCGACACCTAAGTGGGGTTGAGAACCCCAAAACAGACGGCAGTGACAAAAGTACCCAGGAATTGATTGATGAAACCAAAGAGGCCTAGCTTTTCAGAGGACATGTTTCACCTTTGGGGCTTTGAAGCCACTGGCACCAGAAAAGTGCTGGTTTTATGCGCTGCAGAAACCTTTGATTTGGTTTCTGGATCGCGGTAGAATTCACCTTCCTTCGATCACACTATTGACTTTGGAGCCTGTACACCCATGTTAGTTCTGCTTAGTGGTAACACTAATGATCGGGAGTTTAGAAACGTAATTCTTTTTTTTTTTCTTTTTAAAAGAGCTTGTCTCTAGCTGCTCAGACATTTTAAAAAAGGAAGGGCTCTTTGAGCAATACCAGCTGCACCAGATAAGTAGGAATTGGTGTTGGCTTTTCAGACTGTTTTTTGAGTTTTTAAATCTTAAAAAAGGGGGGCCTTAAGCTCCTTTGGCTTAACGCACCTATTTTGCTCTATATCTCCTTCCCAAATTCCCTTCCCCTCCCCTCCATTGCTATAAAGGGCTGGAAGGGAACAGGAAGACGTCCTGGAAGCATTTGTTCCCGAGCACAGCTGATAAGAAATGCAGGAAAACTTATAGTTCAACTCCCAGAATTCCTGAGCCAGGCGGCTCAGCAGTTTTGGGAGTTGAAGCCCACATGTCGTAAAGTTGCCATAGTTGCCCACTCCTGCCTTACGGTAAGACTCTTAGCCGAGGGCAGCTGATAAGAAATGCAGAAAAACTCCTTATAGTAAGCGTGGACTTCCAACTCCCAGAATTCTGGGAATTGAAGGCCACCTGTTGTATGGCTTCCTTAGTTGCTCATCCCTGCCTTAAGGTAAGGCTTTTAAGCTGCAAACTTGTTACATCGTTACCTCTGTCTCCTATCCCATTAATTTGCCTTCAGGTGATTTTATTTGAAAAGTTTTAACTTAGAATTTTAATAGGAAGAATACCTTGATCTTTTACTCTAAAATCCCACCTAACCCATAACAAAAACCAACCTGTTTTAATCTTCTTTGAGCCGTTTGAGCCTCTGATCTGCCCTCAAAGCTTTCTGAAACATGTGAGAAGAATTAAGATCCCAATGCAAGATCCCAAAGAGTTTCAGTAAGAGAGGTGTCCACATATAAAAAAATGCAATCTCATTATGGAAGTACATTGGACTGGGAATTTCCCCTAACCTCTGTTTTATGTTTCACCCTAGAGAGTTATAATCATTATTCGTTGCTGCAGAAAGTTTATATACAACCCCACAAAAACTCTCTAGGAATAGTAATTGAAGAATCAAAGGACATTAGCAATGTAGGGTTCTTAATTTCTGTTCTAAATTAAGAGCTGTTGCTTCATGCTGTGACAGAGGCTTGGGTGATTACTGTTACAAGCCACTGTTATGTCTGGTGAGAGGTTAGTACAATGGCACTAAATAATATTTAATTTGAGGTGCATGCTACCAAGCAAACAACTGGCCATCTTGTTAATGCAGTGGTGCCTCTTAAAAGTGGAAGCATTCTTTTCTGCTTATATGAAAAAAAAAAAAGAGCAAGATTGCTTCTAATGTGAATAATGGAGCAAATTGGAGCAAACACTAAATCAGGTGCTTCTCAACCTCAGACACTTTTAAGAAGTGTGGATTTCTATCTCCCCGTATTCCCTAGCCAGCAGAGACCGGCTGGAGAATTCTGGGAGTTGATGTCCCCATACCTTAAAAGTGGTCGAGGTTGAGAGGATTGGGCTTTCAAAGATCATTTTTGGTCAGTTGTGTCTAAACTTTATTTTTAAAGATTGCAAAAGTTGCCCATCTTTGTTTTTAAGAGAGATTTATTCTAATTTGAAGCCATTTTATTGTTGTTTTTAGAATTTCTTTAACTTGGTACGTTGTCAGCTACTAAAAGTCTTGCAATGATTTACAGTGGAATGCGTATTGTCTCAAATATCTTGTGAAACTAGTCCTAAGTTAAGACGTTTTGACAGTAGCAGGCCCATATAAAGGCAAGCTGAACAAAATAAAAGTACAATTTGCTTAAACTTGAGTTGTCCAAGAGGGACTCTGACATACTAAAATTCCTACCTCAAAGTCCCATCAACTGATCAATAGCACAGACCGCTTGAAAATAAAGTATCTTAGACCAGCATTATCTCAAAGTCAGCAGCTTTAGGGTATGCTCCTAGCACCTTGCCTGGGGATTTTGGGGAGTTAAAAAAATGTCGTCTTAATCTATGCAGAGATTCTGGGAGCTGGTTCTTCAACTGTCCTGGCCTCCTGGCGTTTATGGCTTTTTAAATAAAGGAGCAATTATGCCCAGAAACCAACTGGCAGCCATGTTCCATGTCAATAGGGCAAACACTGTTCATGCTGTGAAGCCCATGCCAGCAAACCATCTTCAAGACAAGCCTCTTAGCTTCTTTTGTCTCATAAGGCTGTTTTAGAAGCACCCTGCTCTCAAGAGTGCTCCAAACATTTTCACAGGGTTCTGCCAGGCACAGGAAGATGAGATGTCAAGAATCAGCAGCCATTGACCTATGCTCATATTGTACTTTGCACTACATTTTAATTGAAGAAAGCAGCACAGCCCTGTTTTGTAACGTGCCCTGAGGAGAGTTTTGTGAAAATGTGGAATGTTCTTTAAAAAGCATCAGGTTATAAACATTTCCTATACCCAGTTATATAGCAAGTTCAAAACATTTTCATACGGTAGATCTTACACATTCTGCTCTTTGGAGCAGTGAAACCAACACTTGTAAAAGGAAACACCCCAAACAGCTTAAAATTTTAGCTAAAGATTTTTTATTATTACTTCTATACAATTGTGAAGTACATATTTCTTTTGGCATTAGCAGGCCATCTGCTAATCTTTCTGAAATGGTTCCTTCTGGGTGTAGAAATTGAAATCTTGGCTGATTTTTAAATTAAAATAGGAAAACAGAGTTAACATTACTTTTGGTGGCAATGTGGAGGGTATAAAATTTGAATTACAGACTTTTAAGGATTATAATTCCAGACAAGTTAGTTAGTTGTAATCAATGAATTCACCTACTTCACTCAACTGCAATGTTGCACAGATGTGGCAAACTATTCTGTACATAAGGATGAAATTTACACAAAGTTAAGAGGTATGAAAGACCTGTGCAGGCATCCTTTCGAACCAGATCTTCCTTCAACAATAACTTCAGTTAGCTGGAGCACATCTAGCCAACCCAAACAGGTCCTAACTCCAGCACCACAGTCACACTGACAGCCTTGCAATTTCTGTAAATAAATATTATGTGGTTACAAACCACACAATACAAATGGAAAGGAAAATACCTGAAAGCAACTACGATTTCCCCTGCAACAGTCAGTAGAAAAATTATTCTCTTCTGAAAGAAAAACACTCAGACGCCTGAATAACCCAAAAGATATCCTACAATTAGCCAATAAAACAACATCCTATATCATTTTTACTGGTTCTTATAATTCATGTCCAGCCCCAACAGGACTCTTAGGTCAAATGTCCACTCCTTTGCTCCTCTCTATTTCTATGGGGAGTGTACAAGCATCTCCATGCTGCAAAAAACTGCCAGAGCAAAGTTTTTCTTCCTTATGCCCCTTACAGTTCAAATAAATCTTCAGTAATGGGTGTAGTCTAAATCTCAACACTCATAAGGGGAAAAAACGTTAATTTCAGGAGGAAAGGAAAGAAATAATCCAGGTTTATCAGATTGTTTTTAAAAGCATTTATGTTTCTGTTTCAAGTCAAAACTTACACTATTATCAGAATGCTCCTGTTTCAATCAAAACAAATTCAGTTTTTCTTGTTTAGCCACTGGGATGCTTCTTCCCAGTGGCTAAATAAATAGGCTCTACTTGAATACAAATCAAATATGAAAGAGCTGTCACATTTTTTTAAAGAGACAGTGCAGAATAAAAAGCCAAGATGAGCATAGCTTGTGTACAGCATACAACATCAAAAATACATACGAAACAATTAAAGGAAAATAATCACCCAGGTCAAGTTTTCTGCCAAATATCGAATGTAATCTTATGGAACTGAACCAGGATGCCGCCTTCTAGCACAATGGAAATTATGTATTTTGAACTCTAGTTAAAGATGCTGAATGAATTCATTGTGACGTTCACACATTGAACTGACCCTGTAATAACACAGCCTACTGATTCTTGAGTCAGAATTAAAATGTTTTCCTACAAAAATCACAGATAATCATCAGCAGGGACATTAGCCTCTCCAGTCTAGACTATAGAAACTGTTCAAGAAGAGTAATCTGTCACACGGTAAGTAGAGTTATCTGGCATAGTGGTCAAAATTTACTACATGGAATGTATTAGCAAAATACAGTACATGCAAGGTTGGGTTTTTTTCCTAAAAAAAAATAATAATTGAAAATGAGTTAGCAGCAGGACTGAAAAATTTTTCATAGCAAGCTTGAGTGAATAAAGGACGATCATCTTGGAAATAAAGGGAGAACAGCAGATACCTGCATTGGGTCACCTTGTCTCTGTGGGCACCTTAACAGGAACCAGTCAAGGGCTTCTAATATCACTCTTGCTTGACCTTGCTAAAGACAACTTTTGAGTTTACATCATACCAATTTCATCTATGTTACAGATTTATTAGTCACTTCAATTCAAGTAGATTCTGTCTGCGCTGAGTCATTAAAAGCGCCAAATCTTAGCATTTAAGTAGGCTTCTAGCGTACTAAGCTGGATCCAGCATAGGAAGCTCAAATTAGTTAACGACCAGTTGGGTTCCACCGGGTGGCTCACGTGGATTTCTGTCGGTAGTGAAGGGTCAAATCACCCCCACTTTTCCATATGAAATGCTTCACGGTTCGAAGGTCCATATTTGGATCCAAAACCTGTCATATAAAATAATAATTCAGGTTTAAATATACCCCAGGTGAAGAAGTATATCCCTCGTTCTTGACTTTGTCGTAAGCCTGCAACTTTCTCTTCTGAGAGCTAATTGCAAGAACCACGCTCAAAATAAGGACAGATAGCCCTTGACGTATGATCACAATTGAGCCCAAAATTTCTGTTGCTAAGTGAAACATTTGTTAAGTGAGTTATGTCCCATGATACAGCCTTTCTTGACACAGTTGCTATGTGAATCACTAAGTTAGTGACATGGTGGTTACATGAATTTGGCTTCTCCATTGACTTTGACTACAAAAGGCAATCACATGACCCCACCCGTCAGTTGCCAAGGGCCTGAATTTTGATCATGTGACCATGTGGATGTCGCAATGGTCATAAGTATGAAAATTGGTCATGTCATTTTTTTCACTACCTTTGTAACTGAATGGTCACTAAATAAACTGTTGTAAGTGGAGGACTACCTATAACTCAGTTTATCTTGTGGACTAGAAGCATAGATCTGAAACCTTCTCCAGTTCAGTTATATCAGATGGCTGGATTTGTTCCCTTCACAATGTGACCCCTTTGTGAAGAAAGCAGTGCCATTTCAAGGCTTGCTTGTTACCCAAGCAAATTCTGCCCTAGAGAGAAGTCTTTCTCCTTATCCATGGATTCCAGAGAAAATAAAGTTGTTTTTTTTATTCAAAGTCATATCCATCCACTTAGTGGTTGAGAAAATTTATTGAGGAGGAGCCTTGCCATTAAACACAAAGTTTCCCAACTGTGGCCAGTTAAAGATGTGTGGATTTCAGCTTCAATTTCCCCACCCGGCATCTTAAAATGGTTAGATGAATTGATTTAATGGACTATTTTTTCATTTTTGGGGGTGAGGTTTGGAAACAGCTGCTGAATCAATATTGTTTCTCTGAAAATAAGACCCAACTGGAAAACAAGCCCTAGCATGATTTTTCAGAATGCTCGTAATATAAGCCCTACTCCAAAAATAAGCCCCAGTTAAGACTGTCAGCTAGACGGATGCATTTGAAACTGTATTTTCCCAAAAATAAGATCTAACCGGAAAAATAAGCCCTAATGTCTTTTGGAACAAAAATTAGTAGAAGACCCAGTCTTATTTTCTGGGAAACATGGTACTCAAACCTGAATACAGTTATACTTTTGTCCTGTATGTAGCTGACAAAACTCCAGATGTACAGCACCATTTTTGAACATTTATCCCAGTGTTTCCCGATTCTGGGAGTTGAGGTCCATACATCTTCAACCGCCCACGGGTGAGAAACACTGATTTAGGCTTTCCCAACCTGCAGTCCACCCCTTCTTTTTCAATGATGAACCTCAGAGCTGCCTACCTGGTCTTGACACAAGAGTTCGATCTTCTCCTCTGCTAAGACTGCGATGTCTTCCTCTTTTTCTTGTTCCCCAGTTTTGTCATTATTGGAAGAGCTTGTCGTCTGGGACTCGTTGTCGAGGTTTATTATTTTTTCATAAACGTGCTCCATCACCTTCCTGACTTGCAACATGTCACTGGCTGAGAGCCGGTCCCTAGGGACAAAATGGAAATTGGGGTTGAGCTGACAAGCTGGCTTTCCATACTCTAGGAAACATTTTTATTCTCTGCTGAATACTTACTTCTTTAATGTTTTTGCTCCGGAAGAGGAGTGAGGTTGGAGGTAGAAAGGAATTTTATTAAATTTTGGCATGTTTTTCTGTAAAAATAAAGCAAAAGCAGAAATCAGTCCATGTTCTATCAATCTTATAAGAAGTAGACTTACGTAGTTCATATACAGGTAGTCCTCGGCTTACAACAGTTCATTTAGTGACCGTTGAAAGTTAAACGGTCCTGAAAAATGTGATTTATGATGACTGTTTTTCATAGTTATGACTTTTGTAGTATTCCTATGATCATGTGATCAAAATTTAGATGTTTAGCTACTGGCTCATATTTATGACATTTGCAGTGTCCTGGGGTCATTTACGTCCTGACAAGCAAAGTCAACGGGGAATCCAGATTCAGTTAAAAATCTGGTTACTAACTTATCAACTAAAGTGATCAACCACTTTGGCAAGAAAGGTCATAAAGTGGGGCAAAACTTACTTAACAAATGTCTCACTTAACAACAGAAATTTGCGGCTCAATTGCGGTTGTAGGTTGAGCACTACCTGTAGAATGGGATTCAGAACATATCTGATACATACAGAACATGCTCACAGTCCTTGACTTGTGAATAGGCACTTAGTGACTATTCGAAGTGATGATGGGCCTACTTTTGGAGCAGAAGTGGTATTCAGCAGATTCTGACCAAGTCTAGAGAAACGGTAGTGGAGATTTTGAGTAGTTCGGAGAACCAGCAAATAGCACCTCTGACTGGAGATTTTACGGTATCCTTTCTCCTGCCCCGCCTATCAAGCCATGCCCACAAAACCGGTAGCAAAATTTTTTGAATCCCACCACTGTTCTGGACTACTTATAACCTGGATTCAAAGTTCCAGTTCTTGTGACCCCCTAACCCAATGGTCACACAGTCATTCTTTACACTACAAAATGTTTACAGTCCTGTGCAGCATCCCGAAAGCATGCAACTTCATTTTACATGGATTTTGCTGAAAACTGGCACTTCTGGCCCATAGCAAAACTTTGGTTCACTTAACCACAGATGTGCTTAAAGACCGCTGCAAAATCAGACTGATCACATGACCAAGCTGGTTATGTCATGGCTTATGACGAATGAGCAGGCTCCATTACAGTTGTAAGTCCACAACTATCTACATCTGATACAGATTAAGCTGTACTTAGTTAGAAACAAAATTTCAGCGTAGGCACAAGAATTCAGGCTGAGGCTCAATTTTCTTTTCCGGTCCTATCACCTCTCTCAGATCCCAGGAACATCAAATATTCTCCCAGGATTTTCAAGGATTTCTCTTAAGTGGGCATGAGAAAAAGTTAAAATAATATTTAATTATTAATTTCTAATAATTATAATTTCTAACTTGGGTGCGCCTTTCTCAGCATCCATTTATAACAGGATGAAGCAATTTTAACACTCCTCAGTAATC